CTACTATTACTACTACTACTTTTCATCCCCCTCCTCTTCCTGTTCTGTCTTCTGACAGCTTCAGTCTTCTTCTCTCTGCCGCAGATCGGCGACTCGGCGACATGGCGACAGTTGAACCGCACCGTGCATCGGCCGCCGCTGCATATCACCGACCTACATCCGTACACGCTCTACCGCTTCCGCGCACGCGCAAACAACGTCATCGGCGCCAGCGCCTTCAGCGAGGTCGACCAGATACGCACGCTCGAAGCGCCACCTGGCGCTCCGGCCGACGTGCGCGTGCAGAGCGACCGCGACGCCGTCTCGCTCACGTGGGAACACCCGCACGTGCTCAATGGCGACCCGGGTGAGCGCGCACCAGAGGGCGTTGCAGTAGCGATCGTAATGCTCGTATATGCTAATATAACGATATAGTCATAATGTAATACTGATGTCATGATAATATACTGATATACTCATAGGCTAATCGTGATGTAATGCTAGGATATTAATAATAATCATAATGTAATACTGGTGTAATGTTAATATACCGATAAAGTAATACTGTATTAATGATGCAATGCTAATGTATCGAGCATATGTATTACATAGTATATTATGTTGTATAAATATGTATATAAATAGTATTAATGTAAAACTATGATTGCTTCGCAGACAATATCATCTATGAAGTGCGCTACAGAGATCTCACGCTGCAGTCACCAGAGGGCGTAGTGGAGATGGTATATCGTGACGTACCACGTGAGGTGCACGTGAGAGACGTTCCTTACAATTCCACTTACAGCTTCACGATACGAGCTTACAACACGAATATAGGTGACGGAAGCGACTGGTTAGTGATCAACTCTACCGCAGTCGAGAAACGTGAGTATAATCAGTCTTTACTGCTATATAACAGTTATCAAGAGCTAATAATACCTTAATAATACCTTAATAATAGATATTAATAGAATAGGTATTATCAGCTTTTGATCCCATTTAGAATGAAATTTTACTATTACGCGAGAAGTATCCTTATGTATAAAAATATTTATTTAGAGTAAGCACGCACAACTAAACGGCACGCGCACGCGTACACACGCGCACGCGTACAAAACACGCACGCATGCGCGCACACACGCACACACACACACACACACACACACACACACACACACACACACACGCACGCACACACACATATATATATG